CTCAGGTGCTTTGGAGAATAGTTTGATTCCCTCTTCTTTGTGGCAACCCCTGAGATATTTGAACACTGCTATGATGTCTCCCCTGGTCCTTCTCTTCACTAGATTAGCCATGCCCAGTTCCTGCAACCGTTTTTTTGTATGTTTCAGACTCCAGTCCACTAATCATCTTTTTTGCTCTTCTCTGCACTTTTTCTAGAGTCTCAACATCTTTTTTAGAATATTCTAACTGCGGTGGCACAATGGTTAGAGTGCAGTACTGCAGGCTACTTCTGCTGGCTGCTGGCTGACTGCAATTTGGCAGATCGAATCTCACCAAGCTCAAGGTTGACTCAGCCTCCCATCCTTCCGAGATGGATAAAATGAGGAGCAGGATTGTTGGGGCAATATGCTGACTCTATAAACTGCTTAGAGAGAGCTCTAAAGCACTGTGAAGCAGTATATAGGTCTAAGTGCTATTGATATTACATTATCCACTATTGATGTAAGTCTTCTGAAAATCTTTCATACAACCAAGAAGTCCATTTTATTTCTATTGTATTGGTTACAGGATTTAATTTATTTTGACTCTGTAAGGTTTCTTAGTTGTAATTTTTGTTTTCTGTTTGGATTTGATGTATATTGCTTGGAATCATAACTACACAACTTGGTCACTATGTAAATCTTCTAAATAAATAAAAAATTAATTGAAATTTTTTTTGGGGGGGAGAATGCTCTGGATACTTGAAGTCAAATATATTAAATGCATATTGCTATTACCATACCATTTGATGGGTTCTGTAGTAAGGAGCAAATTAGAGGATAAATGGCATATAAATCGCATTGATTTAATTAGATCAGCCAGAATCTTCAATATTTAGAGGAAAGGCTGAGAGTCCCTTAATCAAACAAGATAAAAAATGAGCAATAATAACAATAGTCATTCAGTGTCATTGCAAATTGGGCAGCATATAGATTTAAAAAATTATGATTGGTCACAGAGCCAACCAGATGTTTAGACTGGGAACAAACTTTTGGTTGGCCCGTTGGGCCTGTTTTTCGGCCTCTCCAGCCTCCCGATGCTTTCCTGAAGCCTGGGGAGGGCAAAAACGGCCTCTCCTAGTCCCCCAGAGGCCCTCTGGAAGCCAGAAACGGATCATTTCTGAACTTCCGGTTGGCCCATTGGGGGTGTTTTTTTGCCCTCCCCAGCCTCCGGAGGCTTTCCTGAGGACAAAAAACGGCCCCAATGGGCCAACCGGAAGTTCGGAAACGATCCGTTTCCGCCTTCCAGGGCAGGCCATTTTCACCCTCCCCAGGCTTCAGAAATGCTTCCGGAGTCTGGGGAGGAGTCGTGCGCGCATGTGTGTGTGGGTTATGCACACATACGCAGGTGGGTGGGGAGGATTTAATTGTTGTTGGCATGCACGCACACATGATAGCGCGCATGCACACAATTTTGGCATGCTGTATGAAAAAGGTTCGCCATCACTGCCCTATACCAGTTTAGACAAATGGCTGTCCAATGTCTTCTTTAACATCTCCACCAGGGGTGGGTTTCTCGCCCCGTTCCAACCGGNCTCTCCAAGCCTGAAAAGGTCTATGGTTGTAAATTCACCCTTGAAAGACTGGTTGCCAGGACTTTTCTGGATGTGAATGAGAGGAATTCACATTAACTTAATAAAAAGGGGTTTTGTTGGGACAAGGAGTCTGCTTCATGATTTTGTGACGCCTAGGTCAGAACACATCATCATTGCACCGATTCTACACATTCGAGCAGCAAGCAGCCCTCCTCCCCACATTCTCCTCGGGCCCCCCTAAGCTAGACTGCCACCTAGTGGCCTAGCACAAAAAGATGTCTAATTGCCCAAGCTGAAATAAAATCCAGCTACGAAAGTAGCTGGGGTGATGTAAACAGAATGAGGGCCAGACATCTTGTTATTCACTTTAAATAATAGAATATCTTGGCCAGCCTCAGTGGCATTTCAAAAATTCACCCTTCTTTGATTCAAAGCAAAGGCCCAGTTGATGGATGCCACAAGAAGTGCCTTCTGTTCTCCAAAGCTAGTGCACCCATAAAAACTGTCCTCTCAGGAAACCAAGCTCTTCCTAGTTCCTCTGTCCTTTCCTTGCTACCCTGGATGTGTTCAGAAGCGATGGAGATGTCTGATGATTCTACTGGGTGGATCTCTTCTGGGAATAGTATCTTATTTGTGGCACTCCGTTCTTGATCTAAAGGATTCAAAGACAGTAAACACAAGCTTTTTTCTCCACTTCAACTATTATCAATTTTCTGAATAAAGTTAGTTTGTGTAATGAGATCCTACGGCTGAAATCAGGTCTTTCTGCACCCAAGCCAGTATTGTATTGTCTGTCTTTGGCTCTCAACTCTGCTGCCCCAACAGTTTAAAAGTTGAGAAAAGGTCCTCTCTGAATCAGCTGCCTTGAACCCAGCTCTATGCGCAGAAAAAAGCTCATAATTGGCCATCAGAAGAGACAGCTGGGAGACGTTTTGCCTCCTTTGATTCCCTCATATAGAAATTCCCTCTTTAACCCCAGGGGTGTTTGAACCAGGAATTCACTTCTAATAAGGAAATTCAGGGTTCACTCTTAATAGTTACCCCCGAATTTGGCAGGGGACTGTTTTCTCCAGTGGCGTGACACCTCTTATGCTGAATGAACTGTTTGCCCCCGTTAAAACTTTTCCCACAGTCAGGACATATGAAAGAAGTCTTTGCCATATGGATCTTCTGGTGTGTGACCAAGTGTGAGCTCACGCGAAAGGCTCTCCCACAGTCGGGACATTCGTAAGGTTTCTCTCCCGTGTGAATTCTCCGGTGGATAATGAAATGAGCCCTTTGGCTAAAGCTTTTCCCACATTCCAAGCACATGTAGGGTTTTTCTCCTGTGTGAATTCGCTGGTGAATCACCAGGTTCATCTTCACACTGAATTTCTTCCCACAGTCCAGGCATTCGTAAGGTTTTAACCCGGTGTGAATCCCTTGGTGTTTCGCCAAATGGGCATTCCGACTAAAGCTTTTCCCACAATCTGGACACCGATAGGGCCTGTCACCACGGTGACTCCTTTGGTGCCTTTTGAGCGCTGAGTTCTGAATGAAGTTTTTCCCACAGTCTGTGCAGTGATAAGGTTTCTCTCCCGTATGGATCCGCTGGTGGTTGACCAGATGGGAGCTGTATCTGAAGTTCTTTCCACAGACGTGACAGATAAGTGGCCGTTTCACCCTAGGAATGCCTACTTTTCTCACAGTGTCCTTCTGGGATATCAAACTTCCCGTGCTAGGCACAGGTGCTGCCTGCGCCTCGTCGGAAGGGTTTCGCTTGGAAATTTTCCAGTCCAAAAGGCATTTTTCCAATGGAGAACTCTGAGGACAATCTTGCTGGAACGTCATATAAGTGTTGCTATGTGGTTCTAAGTGCACACGATTTTCCAGCTCAGGACTCTTTTTGTCATTCCCATAGGCTGTTTCATTACCTTCAGGATAAAGGGACAAAACAAAAAGCCAGTAAGTATAATGTCAGACAGAAACTGCAAATATAAGCAATAAGTAGCTCATTGTGAGAATCACTTCTCAGTGACTGAGGACACATTTTGGGTTCAGTCTCAAGAAACTGGTGAAAAACGCAACTGAATGAGACCCTGAAGAGAACAGATTAATAGAGTTTGAAGGGAGCTTAAAGGTCTCCTAGTCCAACAACCCCCCCCCCCCCTCCGCTCAAGCAGGAGACCCTACACCATCGCCAACAAATGGCAGTTCAATCTCCCCTTGAAAGCATCCAGTGATGAAGCTCCCACAACTTCCGAAGGCAAAGCTGTTCCATTGGTTGATTGTTCTAACTGTCAGGAAATTTCTCCTCAGTTCTAAGTTGCTTCTCTCCTTCATTAGCTTCC